TGGCGGGCGGGGGGGGGGGGGGGGGGGGGGGCAGCATTAACAATGAATCCTAAGTTCTCACGAGGGACGAGACAATATTGCACTACGGGTGAAAGAGGGGTTTTCTTGCCGGCGTCCTCGAGATGGCTGCTTGAAGAATTAAAGTGCATTTGTGGCTCTTTCGCGGCGAAAGAAAGAGGAATGCGTGGCTCTTTGGTGGAGAGAAATAGAACTGCTCTTCCGTGAAGACAAATGGAGCATCTCTTTCGCGGAGACAAATAGAGCTGCTTTTTTTTCTCTGTGTGTGTAGACTAATAAAGCCACTGTTTCGCGGGGACATGTAAAGCTGCTCTTTCGCGGAGAAAAATAAAGTTGCTGGGGAGAAATTAGAGCTGCTCTTTCCTGAACGAAAAATTGTTTTGTTCTTTATCGGTAAGAAACGTACAATAGTTGGCCTTCGATGCTGAAATATGCTCTTTATCGAAGAGAAACAAAAGTTGCTCTTACCTAAAGGAAAAAAGTTGCTGTTTACTGGAAAAGAAAAATAAATAACCTTGCTCTTTTCCAGGAGAGAAAGCTCTTTCTTTATCGGAGAACCGTTGATTTTGAAAAAATACAGTCGATCTCTCATGACAAACAATAAAGTTGCTGTTCATCGGAAAAAAATAAGAGTTGCTCTTTCCTAGAGAACAAAAAGTTGCACTTTATTATATAGTTGACCTTCCACCTTGAAAAAATACAGTCGACCTCTCATGACAAACAATAAAGTTGCTGTTCATCGGTGATAAAAAAGCGTTGCTCTTTCCTAGGGAACAAAAAAGTTGCTCTGTATTAAAAAAAGAAAAAAATATGAACTTACTCTTTTCCAGAGAAAAAGCTCTTTCGTTCTTTATCGGAGACGAATGAAACTGCTCTTTTGCACAAAAATATAGTTGATCCTTGACGTTAAAAAAATAAAGTCAATCTCGTACGATGAACAATAAAGTTGCTCTTTATCCGAGAAAAACAAGAGCTGCTCTTTCTTAGAGAGAACAAAAAAGTTGCTCTTTATGAAAAAAGAACACAAAAATAAACTTGCTCTTCTCCACAGAAAAAGCTCTTTCGTTCTTTATCGAAGACGAATAAAACTGCACTTCTGCACACAAATATCCTCGCTCTTCTCCGTCGAAAAAGTTGTTCCGTTCTCTATAATAGACGAATAGAGCTGCTCTATCCGCGAAGAAAAACAGGTCCCGTTCATTACACACAAATGAAAGTAACTGCTCCTAAAACAAACAGAAACACTGGCCATCTCGTTGGCGGAACAGAGCAAGAATTTCGAGTCGGAAAACGTGGCTGTCTCTCTCTCTCTCGCGGAGAAACCAAGAGCACGCCACCTCTCGCAACGAGTTTCCTCCGATGAAGAAAGACGATAAAGATGGACGATAAAGATGAGCCAGCCTGCCCACCAGCAAATCGTCCAACCACCCGCGCAAAAATCCGTTGTCCCCTCCCCCGCATTTTCCCGGAGGCAAGCGACGAGCCCTGCTGTCATACGTAAAGCTCGCGAAAAGGAAATCGAGAATCCAATCTCGCCGCGAGTTAGCTTAGCAAATAGAGAGATCCCGCGCGAAGGCAAGAGAGAGAGAGAGAGAGAGATTGAGTGAGAAAGAGAGTTAGAGAGATAGAGAGAGAAAGAAAGAGAGAGAGGTAGGAGAAGTCGAGTCTCGCCGAAGATTTATTCGCATTACGAGGCTACTCGCTGCAGCCCGGAGTCGCGGAGATGTTATATCAAAGCGATGATTGTCCGTGTAAGAGTGGGAATTTCCTTTCGTCATCTGTATAAATCCGAGGATAGGAGGGCCAGGAATCCCGGGGAGGGCGAGGGGCGGCCTGGATCCGCCAGGCTGCCGGTCGCATTCCCGGATTCCGAGCGGCCCTCGGCGAATTGTTGAGTGTTACCAGAGCGGCCGTACAATAATAAGATTTCGACATTAAGTAGAACATATCAACGAAGCCACGTGTACCACACACGTTCATTGTGTCCATCGGTCGCCTCTCGGCCCCGTTCCTTTCGCGGGGGCGCGCGGAAACGCCTCGGCCAGCCGAGCGGGCCAGGCGCGCCGGGTGGGCCGCGCGAGAGCTCGCTCTCGTCTCTCGTTGTTTCTCTGTAAATAGATCGTTCATCCCCCCACACACACACACAATAATCCGCGAACCATGCCGAGTGCTCCGGGGCCGATTGTTCGCTCGACGACGGCGAAACGGCCTCTCCTGGCCCACCCGCGCTCGCGCGACCTCTCCCAAGGGTCGTCCGAACGTCGACGAAAAACTTCTGCCGAGCTGACTTCCGCGCGGGATTTTGTTCCGATTTGACACATCGAAACGACCGCATCGAAACGATCAACACCTTCGAATCGAGCCGGAAGAAACTGCGGGATCTTCTTTCTCCGCGAAATATCCGCGAAATATTCAACGAAGCGTCGCCGATCGCGAAATGCCGTCGGCCCATCGGCGGTGTCGAGGTTCTCCCGGGGAAAAATTGTTCACCATGTTTTTTACAACGAAACACTGTTCGCCACTTACGATAAGAAACGCCACCGCCATTCTGTGTCGTCGATCGTAACGTTTTCTCCGCAATTATTATTACCGGACTGCCGGTTCTCTAGGGAAAGTGAAAGATTTCTGCGTCGAGCGCACACGAAACGGGGCTCCGATAAAAATAGATTCGCTTTTTTAATAGGTCACGCAAGTTGGAAATAGCATTGTTGTTCGATTCTTCTGTTCTTCAATTCTTCTGCAATTTATTCTGCAATTCTCGCACTCGTCTATTTTTACCGCGGACACAAAAAAGTCCG